GCTTCCATGTTTTTCCAATTGTAAATAAAGCAGCAATAAACATGGGGGTACAAGTATCTTTTTCAATCAGTGTTTTTGTGTCTTTTGGGTAGATACTCGAGTTCAATTTTTATATATGGTGTAAGATAGGGTTAATTTGCTGGTGGCTATCTATCCAAGTACCACTTGGTGAAGAGACAGTTTTTTTCCTATTGAATTGTGTTGGCAGCTGTGTCAAAAATCAATTAACCACAAGGGCGAGAGTAAGGACTCTCAATTCCATTCCATTGATCTACATGTCTATCCTAATGCCAATAGCACCTTCTCTAGGTTACTGTTGCTTTGAAGTAGGTTTTGAAATCAGGAAGTATGACTCCTCTTTGTTCTTTTTAAAGATTGTTTGGCTAGTTGGGGTTCCTTGAATTTTCATACGAATTTTAGCATTGACTGGTTAATCTCATGAGAAGTCGGCTGGAATTCCAATAAGCCTTACATTGCATCTGTCAATTTGAGGTCAATTTGAGAAGTACTGCTAACTAAATGACTTAACTCTTCTGGTCCATGAAATATGTCTCCACTTGTCTTTAATATCATTCATCAGTGTCTTGTAATTTTCAGAGTGTAAATTTTGCATGGTGTTAAATTTAATCCTATTTCTTTTTCAATTTGCTCATTGCTGATGCATAGAAATAAATTGACTTTTGTGCGTTGATCTTGTCCGCTACAATTTTGCTGAACTTATTTTTTTCTAATAGCTTTTTTAAGTGGGTTAGAGTTTTCAATGAATCTCTGTTAATAGAGATAGTCTTATTTTCTCCTTTCCAATCTAGACTCATTTTTATTTCATTTTGTTGTCTAATTGCCCTGAGAAAAATGACAGTGTGAATAGAAGTATTGAGAACAGATAGCCTTTGTTCTTGATTTTAGCAGAAAAACATCTCGCCTTTCATCAGTAAGTATTATGGGAGCTGTGAGTTTTCCATAGCTGCCTTTTATCAGGCTAAGGCAATTCTCTTCTTTTGCTAGTTTTTTTGGGATGCTTTACTATGGAGAGGA